TAAAGCAGTGGGGTAGATGGTGCTGTTCTCCAGCTGTCTATCTTGAGGAGTTTCCTCACTGGACTAAACACAACATAATTTCTCTGTAATGTTACAGTGGAATCTTGGAAAAACATAATGTTCCTCCTGCTATGTGCAATAGATTCTTCTTTAATTGCAGCAGCTAAAAAAACCCCTTCTATCTTTATAGCTGTGGAACCAAAGCGACGAAGTTTATGGTCTCTCACTGTCAGCAGGTTTATGGAAAATTTATAGTATATGTTCTAAGTTCCGAGTTTACCATTTTTTGTTCCGAGTTTACCATTTGTGCTGAAGCAAGCCCATTATAGGATTAAGAGTTTTGCTATCTGTAAAGATTCCTATATTTTGAACAGTCTTGGTGTAGTGTCTTTACTATTATATCCTTTTCCCTCAAACTGCTGTTTTATCTTGTTCAGAATCAAGAATCTGTTCAGGCTGTTTCTTCCTCCTTTTTTTTTTTTTTTTTTCCCCTATAAACTGAATTTATTCTATTACCACTCCCTGACTGGCTTTCAGGACTTTTAGAAAATTGCTGATGTCACTGGAAATTCCCAAACCCTCTTTTGTTTTTTATATAAATTAGAGTAAGAGTTTCTATAGTATTTGTTATCTATCCTTTCCCTTTTTCTGTTTCTGAGTCCATTTTGCTGGTGCCACATTATTTGCAGTCAGTGGAAGGAGGCTACTTCTCTCACTTTTTTTTTTTTTTTTTTTTTTTTTTTTTTTTTTTTTTAAGCTATGTTCTAGTTTTGAAGTGAAAATATGTTCATGTTGTCTGTTATGGTAAGAATCCTGAATTTGATTCAACACCCTCCTGTTTGTCCATTTGAGCCAAACTGCTAGCTTAATCTGATCACTCTAGTCATTTGTCGACAAAAAAAAGAAAAAAAAACCTAGCACCAAACTGTTCATCATGGATCAAAATGAGCAGAATTTGATTTTAGAAACATATTAAAATATTCTTCAGCTGTAAAGGATGCTAATTTAACCACAGAGCCACAGAAATGTGATTTACTTTTACTGTTACTACTTTGGTATTTTATTAGTGTAATTCAGAGTAAATTCCTTAATCTGGAAAATATGAGTTGAGCACTGGAACTCTGGCATATCTAGAAAAGGAAAATATAAAGGTTGACGTTTTATAAGGAGGAATGCAGGATTTAATCATTCATTTCCATTCATTTAATCAATTAATTTCTCATTTCCATGACAAGGATAGTGTCCAAATCCTCTGTGTTTCGGAAACTAATCTCTTGACTCAATCTCACTAAAAATCACTGTGTCTGAAGAAGCAATTTCTGCTTTGACCTTCCTTGCCAACATGTCTGTAGTGCTTTTCAGTCACAGTGGGCTGTCCTCTCCTGTTTCTTCAGTATTCATCAATTGCTGTTCTCTTTTTCAAACTTCCTGTTTCTCTCCCGTTTTAACATACGCATGCGTTCATAAATCTGGATGGATCAAAGCCAGCATTGATTTTATTTGTATATTCCCAAACTTCAGCAAAAAAAACAATCTATACATGATATATATTTGCCCAATTTTCAGATTTTGTAGAATTGGTTTCCCCATATTTTTTAATGGATGTATGAGGAAGACTGGGATAGATGACTTTCTCCTGTAGTATGTGCTTGGTAACTGCAGAACAATATTAGGCCTTCATTAAGCTGAGAGAAATACATAGGGCAGCTTGTGGTTGTAGTTGTATACACATTAGGGGAGAAATAACCAAATCTGAAGAGGTAGATTTCCCATTGACTAAGTATTTTTTGAGCACTTCTGCCTAGCACTGAGAATGAAGATGCTGCAGCCAATTCATGTTTTTATTTACTCTCTGTTTATTACTACATGTGACTTTTTTAAAAAATGCACAGTGAATGAGGCAAGACCTTCTGTACGGGATCTGCCTATTTTTAAAGTCATACATGAAGCAGCTTTTAACGGAACCCAATTTTTGCATAGACTTCACGTCCACTCGTAAAAGTACCAAATGTTATTGCTATATCCTGTGCACATTTCCATATTGTGCTCATAATATGTAAAACCTGATATCTAATAGATCAGAGTGATTAAGCTGGGTGCTAGAGTAAGTCCTGGCCTTTAAGCACAAATACCAGGTTTTAGAAATGTGTGTGTCATTTTTCTGGGGGGTGAGCCCACAAGCAGATGTATCTAGTGCCATCTCTAAGGCAGAGTGAATTAACAGCATGTGTTAAGTTGGAGCAAGCGAAAAATACCCTCCTCTGATAATCTGTTGCATTTCATAGCTTTTTTATATCTAAAATTCCCACATATAGTATGCAGAATCAAAAGTTCAACTTCTTCATGGGATTTGGTTTCACTAGCCCTCTGCCACACCCTTGACCTTTCTTCCTCTCTTGCTCTTCTCCCACAGAAAAAGTAAGCCAAACATTACTGGATGCTGTCACAGGGATTCCCAGCTAGCCCCTAAGATCTTGTTGGTGGCACTCACATTTTTCTTTGAGATTTGTACCAGGCTGTGTGCTGCAGGGATACCGCAGCCATCTATTGTTGAGCCCTTTTATGGGGGCAGGACTGTAACTTTCCACACTGGCTTGTGGAAAGCTGCTCATAGGGTCCTTAGCTGAAATGGTATGGAGCAGAAGTGATGGTGCTTTTACTTAACCCTACAGTGTGTTTTGATACTGTTTGCATATGATGGAAATTTTAAATATTTGTCTCCCTGAAAACACAGAACCCTCCCAAAATGATTAATCAGGTTATTAAAACTACATGTAAGGCACACAGGATGCATTCAGAAGCCAACTCTCTGTATGCACACTTATATCTTGGATCTTCTGCATAGCTATTACGCTGGAGCATTTTACTGCATGTCAATATAGTAATTCTAACATAGCATACGTGTCGGATAACGCTGTAAATAAAAATTTAAAGTCCATTTTGCAGCACACTGTAGAAGTGGGTACTTCTTACGGCAGGCAGATTCACATTAATTCTCAGATTATGCAGTTTAATATGAGATAATGCTTTCTCTATGTATTAGCGAAGCATGAAACGAGATCTATGAGTGACTGACCTTAAACTCGTAACTGCCATTCATTTCAGTCTGTGTAGCCCAGCAGACTGGCTGCTGAGAGCTATGCTTGCCTGCTGGTTTGTGAGTCTGCAGATGCATGTTCGCCCACTCTATGCAAACATGCACACTCTCTCTTTTTTTCTCTCACACTGTCTGGCATATTTTCAGAATAACTCTTCGAAGACTTTCTGAACTGCTGGGTATGATCATCTGATTATTATTTTTTTTAACTGGGAACATGTTTAGTCCAGTGTTATTTAAACAAGCTTATCTATTTGATCAAAGTCTACGATCTGAAATTTGAACAGGGTAGGTAGGGTGTCTGGGGTGGGTGAGGAAATCTATCAAGTACATATTTATGTGTGTGCTGCTATCTTAGCTGTGTGCCTGCAGAGGTACAAATTGCTTCAGAATAGTTTTGCAAATATAATTTTGGCTATTTTAGTAGAAGTTCTGAAGATATAGTATTATTACTAAAATAAGACCGTTTTTAGTAAACTTTTCTTGAAGCTATTAGTGACCTGCATATTGAGTTTTTCGGTTTCTTGGGTTTTTTGAAGGTTGTGTTGAGTAACTGTGGAGTTGTTTATAGCATAGACTTCGCTAGTATTCAGAGCATAGTAACTGGAGCCCATATATTAATGCGTTTAGGGTTGGCATTAACCTATTTCACTGACTGAACCACAGACCACATCAGTAAAGCTAGAGAGCTTGAAACAGTTTCTCGGGGTTTTCATTTAGCTGGTTCAGGAGAACTGGTTTGTGCAAAGTTAGAATTATATGGAATGAGATTGCAAGATGAAACATGCATGCCACACCTTTTCATTATGTTCTCCAGCTTCCTTTTTTTTTTTTTTTTCTAAATATAACTTTGAGAGGCATTTTAGTTTATTTTAAAGCCATTCCCATTTGATTATTTTAGATCACTTGATTTTCTAGTCTGATTTCAGAATTCAAGTTTGCTGACCTTTTGTTCACAGGATTAGGAAAAAGAATTTCCTGTATTCAATTCATGTCTCATGCCATCAAATAATTTTTCCCTAACTTTTAGGATCTTACTGTAGCAAGGTCTGAGGGATGCTTTCTTTCAGCATTTTATAGCCTAAAAAGAAGCAGAGAGAAATTTCTAGGCTAATCTAAAGCTTTTCCTTGCTTTTTAATGCTACTATTACACTGTAGTGACTTCAAGTTGTTATTACTGATGAAAGTAATAATAAAGAAGTAGCAAATAAAGAAATCTTTTATTCTACATAGATATCATATGCCCTTTGTTAGCTAGTTTTATTGACCGAGGCTCAATACACACACACACACACACACACAAAAGCACACTTGCACACACACATTCTGCTTTGCCCTGTCTGAGTTACAGCATAGTCCTACCCAGGGTCATTACAATGTACACATTACATATTTCTAGCAAACATGAAAATGAATCAAACAGGAGGAGAGATAAGCACAGATAGATTGGAGCCTGCTGAGGAAATAAAAGGCAGTAATCTGCCTGACCACTGGACTACTCTTCCTGGCTGGATTAAGTGTTCTTTCCCGTTAGTCACTGCAGAGCGCTGGCTACCCTGAATTGAAAAATTTAACAACTAGTAAGAATGAAGTAACATTTAGAGGGACAATTATTTGCTGTAACTCCAAAAGTAATTGTTTCTGAAAAGATGTTTAAACCAACGGCGGCACAAGGCAAGAGTTCCTGGCTCATGGCCAGCACCTTGTAATGCATATTAGCACAGATGAGGAGTTCCTAAAAGTTAGAGAGAGGGAGGGAGGGAGAGAGAGAATGTGCGTTTTCAGTGCTCACTCTGCTGTTGTTTGTACCCTCCTCCTTACTGAGATTAGAAGAATACCTGTGTAGTGCTGCTTTATTGTGATTTCTGCTGAGCCTCAGAATAGCTTCTGGTATTTTTTTTAGGTGAACTGCCAGCTGCCGATCTTGCTGTTGACAGTAAAAGCAGATATGTTCCTCTCTCACTGCCATTAATGCTGACCATGACCCTTCACACCAAAACCTCTGGAGTTACCCTGCTGCACCAGATTCAAGGCACCGAACTGGAGACACTGAGCAGACCTCAGCTGAAGATTCCCCTGGAAAGATCGCTCAGCGACATGTACGTGGAGAGCAACAAGACAGGAGTTTTTAACTACCCAGAAGGAGCCACTTACGATTTTGGTACTACGGCTCCAGTGTACAGCTCTACTACTCTCAGTTATGCCCCTACGTCTGAATCTTTTGGGTCCAGCAGTCTGGCAGGATTTCACTCACTGAACAATGTCCCACCAAGTCCAGTGGTGTTCTTACAAACGGCGCCCCAGCTCTCACCCTTCATCCATCATCACAGCCAGCAGGTACCCTATTACCTTGAAAATGAACAGGGCAGCTTTGGGATGAGGGAAACTGCTCCTCCAGCCTTCTACAGGTAAATGCTACAGAGAATTTTTTCTTTCTTCTTTAAGCAGATGAATTCAGAAAATTAAAATGTGGAAATCTGTATGCCCTAATATTTTCTTTCTGTGTAAAGGACCGTGTGATTTAACTGAATCTTCCACGAAACCTAGACTATAAAAAGTACCGTAGAATAAAACAGAACTGTAATTCACAGCTCACTCTGACTGTAAGCTGTAAATTTTGAAAACTGTACATAAATGAGAAACAAATTGGATAATAACTCCTTGTTTCCTGGAAAATGATGAAATCCTAATTGATTAAAGAATGGCAAACAAACTTCCTGTTCTAATATACTAGTATTACTGTCTGAAGTATACGAAAAAGACTTCCACCATCACACGTTTCTGGGTGTGAGTGGTTGTTTGTTCAGCTATTAGGTGGTAGTAAGAGTATTTTTCTCCTCTGGTTTCCTTTACAGTATGAGGAGAGAATATAGGAAGTGGTTCAGAAGCACAATATCCTTCCTAATCAAACTGTTAGAGTTGACTCAGTGACAGCATTTCAGTCAGTAACGATCTTCATGAGCTATCCTAAGAGCTGCATACAAATTAACCTTCATTTTTCATTGGAGGGTGATATGTATTCACCAAAAATCTAGCATTCTGCGTTTCAAAAATAGAAGATCTTGGGGGTTTTTGTATTTTTGTCCCTCAATAGAAGCTGTGTTGTTTTTTTTTTTTTTTTTTTTTTTTTTAAAAAAA